TCTGTAAGCTTATTTAATTATAATGGATTTAAATGTAAATGGCCACGTATGGCTTCCTCCTATTGGATAGCACCGTGCTAGAATGTTCTAGAATCCACAGAGCACATTCCTTTAACCGTTCCTTGTGGGGCAAGGAGAAAGGACAGTGGGGTCGTAACCAGCTCTGGCTCTGGCTGGAGGACACTACACAGGCCTTTTTCTCCCTGGCCTCAGTGTCTCCATCTGGTAAATGGGAAGATGGTCATGATAACCATACCTGCCTGATCAGGCTGGACACAGAGCAGGGACCCACCCACCCCAAGCCGTGTCCACAGGCTTTTTTATAACATTAAATAAAATTAAGCTGGGCCTTTCACCCCTGCCTGGCCCTGGGGAGGGCGGTGGTGGGAGAAGAGGCATCTGGAAGGCTGGGTCTCTTTGTTCACTTGTCTAATCCGTGAGGACTTATGGAGCACCTACTGTGTGTCCAGCCCTGTAATCTGGGGGTGCAGGCTCTGGGGGTGCAGCTCCTCCCTCAGCGGGTACAAGGTTCTCTGCTTCAACATCAGGTTCTTCTGGGGCCACCTGCACCCGGCAGTGGACTCAGCACTGGTCCTGGCCTCCTCTCTGCCAAAACTGGGGATCCCTGAGAGCTGTGGGGTGCAGCCCATGTCTTGGAGATACCTCCTTGCCCAGAAACTGAAAAGAAAGACCTAGACAGAATGAGCAGGAGGGGTCTTGGGAGACCCCAGGACAGTGAGGCCGGATTTTGCCTTTTCCTTTGAATTGCAAATGTCCAGTCCTTTCCCAGCAGAGGGGAAACCCACTCAGGAGAGTGATACAGTGTCGCGCGTATACACACCCCAGGAAGGAATCCCAGGCCCCCGCAGATGGCAGATGTCCCACAAAGCCATGTCACCTCCACCGCTTCCACCAGGCCAGGCCTGAGGGCGGGTACACGCTATCGCTGCGATCATTACCCCTTGGACCCATCCTACGGGTGGGACAACTGAGGCTGGGCATGAAGTGCCCTTCCAAGGGGCTACGGCTGGGATGCCAGAGTGGTTTCTGAGGACCTGGGGTTCACGCCATTGAAAATGAGGCGCTAGGAGAGAGCAAGAATGGGGCACATTCTTGCATGGGCAAGAGGGAGGTCCAGCAGAGGGAGCAGGGCCTAGCCACTGCCCCTCCACCAAAAGGAGCCCCAAACCCCCAAGGAAGAATGAGGACCAGGCCTGTGTCAGAAGCTGAAGGTGCACTGCTTCATGTGCTTCTCAGAACAACCCAGGGAGATATGGACAGAGATTCTCCCATTTTCCAGATGAGAAAATGGAGGCTCAGGGTAACTTATCTGAGGTCTCCAGGGATCATCAGGACTTGAATCCAGATCTGTCCAGTCAAAGCTTGGGCTGTGCCCAAGACCCTGTTACACCACCTCAGGGCTGTCCTTCCCCCGGAGCTTTGCTGGGAGGTGCTCAAAGGTAGAACCCCGGGCTCTGGGCTGGGTCTTGAACTCTACATTCGAACCAGGTCCTGGGTGATGCTGGGATACACAGCCCCACCTGAAAGCCCCAGGATCATGGGAGGAGGGCATCACCCCCAGGGGACAACTAATTCTCTGCCTGTTGTGCCACAGGAACAGCCTCAGACTGGAGCAGAGACCTGGGTTCGAGTCCTGGTCTGGCCTTAGCTTCCCTCTCTGTAAAGTGGGCGTGGCCCCTGCCCCTGTCCTCAGGCTGTGGCAAGGACTCAGGGAGGCAGAGGGTGGCTCCATGAGTGCCTAAAGTGCTGGATGTGACAGCCATTGTCACACTGTTCTCTGGGTTGGTAGCCGGGGGTCAGCTGATTTCAACCAGCCAAGCAGGCATGTAAGTGGCACCCCTGTGTGCAGGGACACAGGCTGATCCAGGGCTCAGGGCCAGCCCTCAGTGATCCCACAGGCGGGGTGGGGGGCAGAGAGATGGCAGCGCGAACTCACTGGCCCTGGCAAGGCGCAGGGAGCAGCCAAGATGCAGAGGGGTCCCTGAGCTTGGGGTTGGGTGACAGAGACTTCCCAGGGAAGCCACTCCTGGGCTGGAATGAGCCCGCACGGGCAGCCAGGAGCCCTAGCCCTGGCCTTGCTCTGGACTATGAGTTGGAAGCAAACTGCTTCCCTTCTAACCTCAGTTTCTCCATGGGTCAAATGAGGGGTGGGGTCAGATGATGTCGGCAGGGACTTTGGCAGGAAGAGGCCAGGAGACGATCTGCAGTGAGCCTCCAGGGGTGGGCACTGTTTGGGTGGGGGCTAAGGCATGGCAGTGGAACCGTGCTTGGGTGTCCCAGCGGGGGGCAGGGGGAGCGAACACCGGGTGGCCGCAGTAGGCGTTGGGGTGAAGTCGGGGGTGAAGGAATGGGGAGCCAGGCGGGACACACAAACAGCAGGAAAGAAAAGACCTGGAAGCACCATCAGAAGAGCACGGCTTCCTCGGCCCCTCTGTGCACTCAACGGCCTCGTCACCTTATGTGATCCTCACTTCGTGGGGAGACAGGCTCTGGGCATTTAAGTGACTGCTCGGGGGTCTCAGTTTCTCTACCTGTAAAATGGGGAGAGCACGTGGCCTTGGGTCTGGCATACAGGAAGCGTCAATAAATGGGAGCCACAGGTGCTTACAGCAATAGAGGCAGATCTGCGAGACCTCGGAGCCCAAGCTCCGATGTACTTCCTTCCAGTCCTCTGGGGGCCTGGCTAATATTTTTAACATTAATATTGGCCCGAATGCTGATGACAGCTAAGTGAGACGCCGTTCCAAGGGCTTGACGTGCAATCATATGCTTAATCCCCACGACACCCTATGAGAGGAAGTGTTATTAGCCCGATTTTACAAATGAAAAACGGAGGCTCAGAGGGGTCCAGTCAGTGGCCCTGGCACAAGGCAAGTGGAGACTAGGGTTAGACCCCAGAGCCCAAGCTCTTAACCGCCCTGGGCACTATCAGCCAGAGTCCCCTGCCGCCAGAGATCTTGCTGGCACCCAGGAACCCAGTTTGTTTACAAGCCTGCCACCACCATTCAGGGGCCTTGGTGGGGCCGCGCCTCAGAAACCTGCCGGCAGTGGCTCACCTCCGTGCCTCCCAGATGCCCCAGCGCCAAACGGAGCAGCAGGGGCAGTGGGGAGCTACAGCAGGTGACGGAGCAGGAGCAGGGTCGCACCGCCAAGCTCTGGGAGGCCGGCCAGTCATGTGGCGGGTGGGGACTGGCCAGACGCCCCCCACGGCGGGCAGCACACCGGGCCCTGCCCCTCGGTCTACCCCATGGTCTCCACGGGCCCAAGGGGACAGATGGCAGCGCCCAGGCCTGGGCCGTGGCTGTCACTCGCCTGATGAGTTACGAGCAGGCTGAAGGAGTGGCAGCCCAGGGTGGGGGGGCTGCAAAAACAATTGCACAGAGACCCCGGGACAATGGGGGCCACGTGCCACGGGGGCAACAGTCGTTTGTCGCATAATGGGCCTCCGGGGGACAGCAGCCAGGCCAACTGCTGCTGCTGACACGGCCGGCCGGGTTTTCAAATCGTTTCCAGGCCCTGTTTTCCTACAAGGCAGCCAATCGCTGGGGCAGCTGGACGGTCACCTGATGCCAGCTTGGTGGGCTGAGGGCCCAGGCCCGGCGACAACGAGCAGTTGTGGCCATGGCAACGCTAATTGTGGCCCTAAAACACAAGGAAAGAGAGAGCGGGTGAGGTGGGAAGGAGTGGGGAGAGAGAGAGAGGGAGAGAGAGACAGCGAGACAGGAGACAGAGCCCGAGCTGAGGTGGCCCGTGGGTGGCAGAGGCAGATGCCCCACCATGATCCCCTATCCTGTGCATCACAAAGCCATTTATGTCTCCCCCTTTCTGTGAAGCCCCCAAGACACTTATTCTCAAACCATGGTGCTCAGAATCGAGCCTGTGGGCCCCTGGGCCACACACCAGACAGCCCCTGACCCCCGAGGGGGGCAGGCACGGTGGGTCTGGCGTGGGCTCCAGGCTACTTTGCAGCAAGCACCTCATAACATGGACAAGGTACTGCTGTGGGGCCCGGTGTCCTCGCAGCCGTGTGGCAAGCATGACTTCAGGGGTGCTGGGGAGTCACACTTGCCCCATGCCAGGGTACCTGCCTGCCCTCCTCGTGGGCAGCCTTTGTCTTTCCGTGGAGGGTGTTTTTGCTCACGGGTCTGTTGGGGGGGTGTCAGGCATGGGTTCCACATGGCATCTCCAGGGGCTGTCTGTTCAGCTTGGGTTCCGGCCCCACCACTTCCTGTTACATGTGGCTTTGGGCAAGTGACTTGGTGCTCTGAGCCTCAGTCTCCCCATCTGTAAGAGGAGGATATGGGTGTATCCGGGGGATGTGGGTGTATCCTACCTCTCAGGGCTGCTGTGGGGATTGAACGGGATTGAAAAGGACTGTGCCCATGTGCCCAGAGCCCTGTGCCTCAGTTTCCCCAATCTGTAAAATGGGAATGATGATCATACTACCGCTTGCCTCATGGGGTTGACCAGGAGTGTTTTAATTTTTTTTTTAATTTTTATTTTATTTATGATAGTCACACAGAGAGAGAGAGAGGCAGAGACACAGGCAGAGGGAGAAGCAGGCTCCATGCACCGGGAGCCTGATGTGGGATTCGATCCCGGGTCTCCAGGATCACGCCCTGGGCCAAAGGCAGGCGCCAAACCGCTGCGCCACCCAGGGATCCCTGACCAGGAGTGTTTAATGGCTTTACTACCTCTGAAGGACTCGACACGGTGTCTGGCACATAATAAGTGCTCAACAAACCTTAATGTTTATTGTTTTGGGGGTAGGGGCTAAGGTAAGATGTGGTCAGTGAAGGAATGATTTGAGGATGTCTGATCTGGCTGCCAAAGGGGGGATCCTGCGACCATGCGGAGCCCAGGGGAAGGGCAGATTAGGGCAACTTGGGGAGGAGGGCTAGGGGGTGATTCCAGAGATGGGGGGACCAGAAGCCAGCCTGAGCTCCCCGCTCCGCCCGAGCTCCTGCCCCTCCCTGCAGGCTCCTGGCCACCACCACCAGCGATGATGACCTGCCCGGGGACCTGCAGTCGTTGTCCTGGCTCACGGCGGTGGACGTGCCACGGCTGCAGCAGATGGCGAGTGGCCGTGTGGACCTGGGGGGTCCCAGTACACCACACCCACACCCAGGTAGGCCCAGGGGCTGGGTCGGGGGGACAGGGTGGTGTGCAGGGGTGGGGCAGCGCCCAGCACTGCCACCTACCAGCTGTGTGGCTGTGGCCACGTCCCTCTCTCTTACTCTCTCTGCCCCTGTTTCTGCATCTGTGAAATGTGACTGATTATACGTTCCTCAGAGGAATGTGGCTCATTCATTTGCTCACCACCGTGTGCCAGGCGCTGTGTGAGCAAAGGTTTCAGGGAAGAGTAAAGACCACCCTGCCCCTACCCTGCTACGTCTTGAACATCTAAAGCGGTTGGCAAACGATGGCCCGTGGACCCCATGCAGCCTGCAACCTGCAGCCTGCGTTCTGTATAGCCTTTGTGTTAAGAATGGTTTTACCTTTTCCAAGGGCTGTAAAAAAAACCAGAAGACAGAAGCCATATGGCTGGCAAAATATTTCCTATCTGGCCCTTTACAGAAGAAGTCTATGGAAGCCTGATCTTCAAAGAGATAATATGTGGAAGGTGCTGAAGGTCCTGGCACACAGCAGGTGCTCAATAAATGGCAGCCAGTTGCAGTCATAGCACAAGTGGGCTAAATATTTAGAGACATAAAGTGTTGAAAACAATCATCACAGTACATCAAAAGTACCAGTAGTTAAAAAATTAGTGTCTAGGAGTATTTATTTCATTGAACAAATTATTCTTGGCCAAAACATTTATAGCAGGGGTCAGCACACTCATTCTGTAAAGGGCCAAGTAGTAAATATTTAGACTTTGTAGGCTATATAGTCTCTGTTGAAAGTGTTCAGGATGCCTGGGTGGGTCAGCAGTTGAGCATCTGCTTTTGGCTCAGGTCGTGATCCCGGGGTCCTGGGATCGAGTCCCTGTATCAGGCTCCCCGCGGAAAACCTGCCTCTCCCTCTGTCTGTGTCTCTGCCTCTCTCTCTGTGTCTCTCATGAATAAATTAAAAAAAATTTATTTTAAAGTGTTCAGCTGTGTCCCTGTAGTATAAGCCCACCCCTAGACAAGGTAAATGAACAGTCGTAGTTGTGTCCCAGTAAAACTTTATTTACAAAAACATGCCACAGGCTGGATTGGGCTTTGCTGGCCACAGTTTGTCAAACCCTGATCTAGAACCTCCAGCTCTATGACCTTGGGTAGGTACTTTCCCTTCTGACCCATTTCCTTAGGTCAGATGAAAGGCTAGCAGAGCTACCCTCCCCAGGTGTTGAAAAGATTCAATGCCCAAAGGACGTCGTACCTGCAGTCGGTGTTGTATGGCACACAGCAGACAGGAACCGTGAAAGAAGGCAGCCTCCCTTCTCCACTGTGTGGCTGCACACCTCCTGCGCTCCTGTCTCTATGCCAGTGTTGGGAGCCCTGAGTCCTGCAAGCCGTGGTCCTCGTTCTCAGGGAGCTGAGGGTCTCTGATCAGAGAGAGGGCAAGGCAGACAGACCAAAGGCGCAATGGAGGAGCGTAGGTGGTGGCCTGGGCTCAGAGGAGAGCTGAGAGACCCAGAAGGCTTCCTGGAAGAGGTGGCCCCAGGGCAGGATCATCTTGCAGGTCAACTTTGTTCAACCTAGAAGGGAGCCCCAAATCAGAATGGTTCAGTGAGGGTCTGGGATAGATGAGCAACATCTGTCACAGGCCTAGGACTGGATGGCTGGCGTGCAGGCGTGTGTGCATCTGCCAGTTCTGAGCACCCCCTCGGCAGGGGAGCTTGGCAGAAGGGAGAGGAGGGGGCACAGCGGCAATCAGAGCTAAGCCTAGTGGCACTGGGGAACCCAGGCGCCATTCTAAGGAGGAGAGATGAATAATGAATCGATGTTTTAGCCTCATAATGGACAAGAACTAAGATATTAATGATACCACTATTATTTGTTATCGACTCATATATTTTTTTAAAGTCTTTTTTTTTTTAGGACTTTTATTTATTTATTCATGAAAGGCACAAAGAGAGAGAGAGGCAGAGACACAGGCAGAGGGAGAAGCAGGCTCCATGCAGGGAGCCCGATGTGGGACTCGATCCCGGGACCCTGTTTTCACAGCCTGGGCTGAAGGCAGGCACTAAACCGCTGAGCCACCCGGGCATCCCTCGACTCATATATTTTTAAAGATTTTATTATTTATTTATTTATTTATTTATTTATTTATTATTTATTTATTTATTTATTCATGAGAGACACAGAGAGAGGCAGAGACACAGGCAGAGGGAGAAGCAGGCTCCCCATGGGGAGCCCGATGGGGGACTCAGTCCTGGGATCCCGGAATCAGGACCTGAGCTGAAGGCAGTCGCTCAACTGCTGAGCCACCCAGGTGCCCCTGTTATCAATTCATATTAAGGTGTCGGTGGGGTAGCCAGCAACGTGATAAGTACCCACAGACATCACCTCGTTTAAACCCCACAACTTCACACATGGGTGATCTGTGTAGCTCCGCCACGCAGATGGGGAACCTGAGGCTGGCCCCAGGTCACACAGCCGGTAGAGCCCAGGTTCACCACTACACTCCAGGTAGTGGTTTGCGAAGCACCTGCTATGCACCTGGCCCCCAGGCCGGGGGCAGGCTCCGTCCTCTGGAGGTGTCCCAGGTGAGCCACTCTGCCTGCTGGCGCCCTTCTGCCAGCGCAGTGGTGTCTCTGTGCTTTCCTTTTGCAGGTGCCTTGGCCAGAGCGGCTGACCTGCATGTGGGAGCCACGCCGGGTGCACTGCTCCACGGCCCAGCCGGCATGGCCCCCCCGGGCCTGCTAGGCCTGGGCCCCCTAGCCAATCACGGAGCCAGCGTAAGCACCCATCCCTCGGGTCGGGGAGCTCGAGCGGGGGTCCTCCAGGGCTGGGGTGCCCCTCCTCACCCTGACCTCCGTCTCCTTGTCTCCTCGTCTTACGGCCCTTGCAGATGAACCAGATCCCCGTGGGGGGCCAGCCCTCATCGGGCCTGCAGGACCCACGACAGCTGTATTCACCTGCCTCCCAAACACAGTTACCGCTCCCCCCAGGTGGCCAGCAGGTACCTAGAGCTTGTGGGCAGCCCTGGACTCGGAGACATATGTCCCTGCCTTGGGCTGGCGGGGGGAGGGGGGCGCTCGCTGAGCCTCAGTTTACTTCCCTGCAACTTGGGGCTAGCATTCAGTGCCCGTGCGTTCAGTTCCCTAAAACTCCTGCAGGGAGCAGACAGGATTGTCCCTTGGGGCCGTTGACCTCACATCTTGCTAAACAGCGTCTCCTGGGGGAAGGGGGCCCTCCTGTGAGTGGCTTATTCTCTCTCTCCCTCTCTCTCCTCTCTTTCTCTCTCGCCTCTCTCTCTGCCACGCTCGCTCGCCCGCCCTGCCCATGGCAAGTGCCCGCCTGTGGGCCTGTATGGCTCCCCGTTTGGAGCACGGCCTCCCTACCCCCAGCCCCGCATGGCTGTGCACTCATCTCAGGAACTGCACCCCAAACACTACCCCAAGCCCATCTACTCATACAGGTGAGGTCCAGGGTGGGCCGGGGCTATGAGGGGCTCGGGGAGGAGGGGTAGGGACTGCCCTTAGGACAGCTCAGACTTGTAAGGGGGCGCTTTTCATCCCCCTAGGTGTGACCTGCTCTGGGAAGGACCATCATGGGCTCCATCAGCCCCCAGGGTCGAGAATGAGCCCGATGCTCCATGCTGTCACTCACAAACTGTGTGGCCTTGGGGAAGTGGCCTGGCCTCTCTGAGCCTCAGTTCCCTCTAATGTAAAAAGACATCAACATAATAACATTGTGTCCCTCCCGAGATTTGAGTGGGTGGCAGGCAGTAAGCAGCCTAGTTAAAGTCTAAAGGCCTGTAGACATTAATTATGGGGAAGGGTCAAAGAGAGGAGAAGAGTTTTCTCAAATTGGTCCTGCTGTCCGAGCTCAGGGTCAAGGCCAAGGTCAGGGAGTGGGAAAGATGTTGGGCCAGAGAAAGATACCAGAGCTGAAACCGTTTGGGTATGGAAGGGCTGGTGGGGTCAAGCAGGGCAGACTTCCTGGCAGAGGGGGCCTTGGGCCGCCAGCCCAAGACACCTTCACACCGGCCTGCTCCACCCTTTGCCTCCAGCTGTCTGATCGCCATGGCCCTGAAGAACAGCAAGACAGGCAGCCTGCCTGTGAGTGAGATCTACAGCTTCATGAAGGAGCACTTCCCCTATTTCAAGGTGAGCAGCCCCAGCCTGGGGTAGGGCCGTGCCCGAGCTGCTCTGGCCTCTCCCTCAAACTGCCAGGACCCAGGACTGGCCCCAGGCCAAACTGGGCCACCATGTTAGGTCCCCAGTTACGTCCACAGGCGCCTGGCCCTGGGCATTCACACAGACGAGGGCAAAGAAATCCAGAAGGAGAAGAGGGCATTTGAGCTGGGCCCTGACCAGGAAAGGAGTTCACCAGGCTTCCTGGGGGGTGGAGGGGAGGCAGAGGGTAGAGGGGCCAACCTGGTTACTCAGCATGGATCGGTAAGACACGCGGATGCAGAACCCAGACTTGGCCAGAGCTGCTGCCTCTCTGAGCCTCGCTTTGCTCCTCTGTAAGGTGGGGACAATAACTCCCTCTGGCCAGGCCCATGAGGGCTCTGGGGGTCAAGGGCCCTGGCCGCTCCGGGCACATGGCGGGCCATAGGTATCGTTATTTTTGTTGGCATCAATCCCCAACGAGTAGCAGGCGGGCAGAGGGGACCAAGCTGCAGGGTCCCTGGCTTAGTGCCCTTTTTTGTTTTTTTTTTAATTTTTTTTAAAATTTATTTATTCATGATAGTCACACAGAGAGAGAGAGAGGCAGAGACACAGGCAGAGGGAGAAGCAGGCTCCATGCACCTGGAGCCCGACATGGGATTCGATCCCGGGTCTCCAGGATCGTGCCCCGGGCCAAAGGCAGGCGCCAAACCGCTGCGCCACCCAGGGATCCTGGCTTAGTGCCCTTTAGCAGAAATATTGCAGACAGGGGAGTGTGCGTGGAGGGAGAGGGATAGAATGTGAGGTGCCCTTAGGATCTGGTTACCTGACAATAAAGTGGGAGCCTTTAAAAATGATTGGCTTCAGGGATCCCTGGGTGGCGCAGTGGTTTAGCGCCTGCCTTTGGCCCGGGGCGTGATCCTGGGGACCCGGGATCGAGTCCCACGTCAGGCTCTCTGCATGGAGCCTGCTTCTCCCTCTGCCTGTGTCTCTGCTTCACTCTCTTTCTCTGTCTCTTATGAAGGAATAAATATATAAAATCTTTAAGAAAATAAAAATAAAAGTAAAAATGATTGGCTTCCAATGTGCTGGGCCAGCTATCCGCATGTTAGCATCCTGTCTCTTTCTTGCTTCCTGAGTAGGAAAGAAAGGGGAGTTCGGCATCCTTGGGCCTGTTCCCAAGTAGTGACTAACTGTTGCCTGGAGCTGACGTGCAGCTGCCCCTTTAATGGGGCCCAGGGGGCCGGGCCCTCTGTTTGCCACAGTCCGCACCAGTCTCTCTTGTCTTCCCAACTCAAGGCTGGGTGGTGGACAGCCCTGCCCTGCCCCTCAAGGCCTGGGTCATTGAGATCCCCCCGAAGAGGAGGGGCTCATAGGGCGGTCTCTGAGGGGGATCTCCTGAGTGTCCCATCTGTCCCCACAGACGGCTCCCGACGGCTGGAAGAACTCCGTGCGGCACAACCTGTCGCTGAACAAGTGCTTCGAGAAGGTGGAGAATAAGATGAGTGGCTCCTCGCGCAAGGGCTGCCTCTGGGCCCTGAACGTGGCCCGCATCGACAAGATGGAGGAGGAGATGCACAAGTGGAAGAGAAAGGATCTTGCCGCCATCCACCGGAGCATGGCCAACCCCGGTGAGGCCTAGACATCCCCGCCACCCCCCCCCCACACCCACGCCACCCATCACGCAGCCAGCCCGGCTCTGCCTGGACCTGCCCAGCCCGCCACGAGTCCTGGCCTCGATGGTGGGGACATGGGCGCCTGGTGAACTTCCCTCCTTTCCTCCTGGGCCCTCCCTGGGGCTGGTCAGAGGCCTGTGAAACGCTGTTCAATCTCCCTGAGCAACCCCGAGTTTCTCACAGAGAAATGCCCAACTGAGCACCCACGGGATGACATCACCTTCTTACCTTTCTTATCGCACTGGCATCAGGTTTCAAAACAATACAGTCATAGTAACACCCAGGGTGGGCTAGGATGTGGAGAAACAGGCACCGTCATACATAATGAGTGGGATTCTGAGGTTAAGCTTTTCCAGGGCAAAGTCATATAACAGAGCCCTGCAAACCTTGCCCCATTTTCTTCGGTCCAGTTATTTTACTTCTGGCAACGTATGTGGAGGATGAAAAAGAATTTCAACAGAAGGTTTACAAAGTCATTCGTCACAGAATTTTTTCTAATAGTAAGAAAGTTGAAAGCAATCTAGACATCCCACAATAGGGGATTAGTTAAATAGATATAATGTCCATACAAGGATTGATTAGAGACAAAAATATTTTTGGAATAGAAAGAGATATTCCCAATACAATAAGTGAAAAAGACCATATATCACAGCCTAGTCATATTTCAAACTGTGTATATTAAGTGCACACATATGTTTATATACGTGTGTGTATCCACTCACGTGTGTATGGATCCTTATGTGTACACACACACACACACACACACACACGAACGACACACATACACACAGACTAGAAGAAATATACCTAACTCTTGACTGTGAATGAAGAGACCACTGATAATTTTTATATTCCTCACATTTCTGTATTTTCCAAATCTTTAACCCTGCTCACGAATCACTTTCATATTAGGAAAAAATATTGCATCTGCTTTTTTTTTTTTTTTTTTATTAAGAGATGTGAAGGGGAGGGACATACAGGTGACATCTGCATGGAGAATGTCAGATGGGAGGCTAATTATCCACCCAGCCTCAGGAACATTTGGCCTGACTCCGTGGGGATCATCATGTTTGAGGTGTGGGTATAAAGGAGGATTGGAATATAGCTCAGAGATGAATTCAATAAAGTGGGGAAGAGGAGACCATGGAGCAATCCCATAGGCCCTTGTGGGGGGAGCATCCAGGGACACTCGCCCCTCAGAGAGCACTGGGGTCTGGCTTAAGACCCAGTGCTAGTCCTCATTCATTCATTCATTCAAGATTTTATTTATTTATTCATAAGAGACATAGAGAGAGGCAGAGCCAAAGACAGAGGGAGAAGCAGGCTCCCTGTAGGGAGCCCGATGCAGGACATGACCCCAGGACCCCAGGATCACAACCTAAGCCAAAGGCAGATGCTCAACCACTGAGCCACCCAGGTGCCCACAGTCCTACACATTTAATGTAAAATCTTGGGCAGGCCATTTCACCTTCTAGGTTCTAAGTGTCCTCTTTTCTTTTTTATTTATTTTTAAAAACATTTTGTTTATCCATTTGAGAGAGAGAACACGAGCAGTGGGAGGGGGGCAGAGGGAGAGGGAGAAGCAGACTCCCCACTGAGCAGGGTTCCTGATGTGGGGCTTGATCCCAGGACCCTGGGTTCATGACCTGAGCTGAAGGCAGACGCTTAACCAACTGAGCCACCCAGGCACCCCTAACCTAAGTGTCCTCTTTTCTAGAATAGGTACCAACCTAAATAGGTCCTGGAACCCTAGTGGTCCAGGCTCAAATTGGTATTACCTTCAAGGAGACGCAAAAGCCAACCACCAAAAATAATTTCAGAGTAATGATCTGTCTTGTTTATAACCGATAGCATTAAGGAGAATCCGACTTTTAACCCACAGTAATACTTCTTAATGCCTCTTTAGTAGCAAGAAGTGGCTAGGACCCCTTGTGTGTTAATAAATTTTATCCTGGTGTCGTGGGACTTGTCATCTCTGCCTTCCCTCCTCTTGCAGAGCTGTCAGCCTCAAGTGAAGTCCTGGGGCTAAAGCGCTGTCCCAGTGAGAGGAGCTAGTGTTATCATCTGAGGCTCCTTCATTCCTTAAAGACCCTACACAGCAATCTGAGATCTCATGACATGTCCGCAATGACACTGTGTCAAGTGTACAGTGCCCTCTCATAGATGAAGAGACTGAGGTTCAGAGAGTCCGAGGGGATTGCTAGGGTTACATGCATGGTACCATTGGGGCCTGGGAACTTCAGGGTGGCTTCTGAGGACCTTTCCCTTGCCTGCAGAGGAGCTGGACAAGCTGATCTCGGACCGGCCAGAGAGCTGCAGGCGGCCTGGCAACCCCGAGACCCCTGTGCTGACTCATGCCACCACAGTAGCCATGGCCCATGGCTGCCTGGCTGTCTCCCAACTTCCACCCCAGCCACTGATGACTCTGTCCCTGCAGTCAGTCCCCCTGCACCACCAGGTCCAGGCCCAGGCGCATCTGGCCCCAGACTCTCCCGCCCCGGCCCAGACCCCACCCCTGCATGCCCTGCCAGAACTGAGCCCCAGCCCCCTGCCCCACCCTGCCATGGGAAGGGCCCCTGTGGACTTCAGCAACATCGGCAGCGACATGAGCACTGAGGTGGACTCCCTGGACCCCAGCATCATGGACTTTGCTCTTCAGGGTGAGGCTGGAAGAATGGGGATGGGGGGAGAGGAGGGGAGGGAAACTGGACAGCCAGAAAGATGGGGGAGGGCCAGGGAGAGGAGGTCGGCCAGACTTTACCCCTCCATTCCATCCGTGGGCAAGTCCTTCCCAACCTCCTCATGACAGCGAATTACAGCAAGCATTTCATGAGTGCTTACTGTATACCAGGCCTCGTGCCCAGCACTTCCTAGCCATCACCCCCCAACCCACCCTGCCACAACCCTGGGAGGCCACTGCCATTTCATGTCCTCATTCTGCTGCTGAGGATACCGACACAGAGAAGTGAGGCCACTGGCCCAAGATCACCAGCTAGTAAGTGGCAGAGCCGGGATCACAACCCAGATCTCTTTGACCCCCAATGTTTACTCAATAACTACTCTAACTTGCATGTGCCAACCTCAGCCCAGGTCACGGTTTGACCCCCGCCTGCCACACAGTCCTGCTTGACACACAGGAGCCGAGCAAATGAATGGACAGACGAGGGAGGTGCCTCGTGTTTCATCCATTCATGCCATGGGCGCCCCTACTGTGTGCCAGCCCATGGCCAAGAACTGTCTGCCCTCCAGGAGTTCCGTGTCTAGAGAGGGAATGGACTGGTTAGCAGGTTGGTTAGCTAGCTAGGGAGCGAGTTACTTAAGGCCTTTAAATGGATATATCTATCTGGCCCTCCCTGCCTGTCCCCCTGATTATTGTTTGGGGAAAGTGTTGTGTTGTCCCCTGGCTGTGCCATGATGGGACACCTGAGAGAGCGAGTCAGTGCTTGCCACACATGCCCCTGAGGAAGCCTCAGGAGAAGGGAGGGTCTCTGATTGGCTCCATTTCATCCCGAGGAGCCTGAGGCTCTGTGACAGAAGCGACATTCCCAGGGATGGAACTTGGCTTCTCCACACCCCCCCTGCAAGACCCGACTTTGAACCCCACACACGGTCTTTGCCTCCTCCTTAAGATCGGATTCAAACTCAGGTCTGTTTGACACGAAGCCAGCTCACTCAAATGCCTTTGTCTTTGAAAGGGAACCTCTGGGAGGAGATGAAGGACGGGGCCTTCAGCCTGGACGCGCTTGGCGCCTTCGGAGACTCGCCCCTGGGCTGTGAGCTGGGGGCGGCGGGCCTGACCCCCGCCTCTGGTGGCAGCGACCAGTCCTTCCCAGACTTGCAGGTGACGGGTCTCTATGCCACGTACTCAACCCCAGATGGTGTGGCCACATCAGCCACCTCCTCCTCCTCCCAGTACCTGGGCGCCCCAGGGAACAAGCCCATCGCCCTGCTCTGAGGTGACGGCTTCACCTGCCCGCAGCACTGGGGCCCGGGCAGGAGCTCATGGAGCCTGTGTTCCTGGAAGCAAGGCCCCTTACATCCTGTTGGCACCCCTGGGCCTCTCACACCTCCACGGGAGGCCTCTGGGGCCTCCCCCAGTCAGAAGAACAGAGGAGAGTGGACAGGCATTCCAGCTTCCCAGACCCCGATGCTCCTCCCAGAGAGTGACACCTGAAAACGAGATTTCTCCGGCCTGCAGCCCCGCTGGGCTCCTGAAAGGACCCGCAGCCCCCTTTGAGATGGGACGCACTGGTGCGCCATGGAAACCCTCCAGCGGGGAGGCCCTTGAATTTATTCCTCTGGGACTGAGCGTCCACTTCAGCCTCCAGAGGACAGGCCCTGAGGCCGGGAGCAGAACTGGTCAACCGGAGCCCTTCCCTTGGACTGGCATGGGCTGAACTCTGAACCCCAAGCTCCAGGCCTGCTCCTCCCATAATCTGTTTCACAAACAGAGCCCTGGGCCATGCAGGGCACTGTGCCCCCGTGTACATTTATTTATATTTATTGGAGCCTGTCCACACCATCTCTTCGAGCCCAGCCCGCGGCCTCTGGAATCAGAGTCCCTGGTCCCTCCCTGCATCCTGGCAACCGTAGCTCCTGAATTACTCTGGGGAATCGTGACTCCAACTGGCCCTTAATCCCTTGGCAGCCTGGGACTGCTTTTTAGAAGGAAGCACTTTTGATACTACGGAACATCCTCTTTTTCCAAATCAGAGACAGATATTTTTCTGACTGCTCAGTAGTGATTCAGACTTCTTCCCATATGCACCTGAGCGGAGAGGTGCCATCCATAGTTTGGGGCTACGGGGCTTTCTAAGGGCAGATTGGGGGGGGATGGGAAGAATGACAGGGGGCATCTGTGCTGGCATTTAAGACACTCCTGATGGAAAAAAGCAAACTGAACCATGTAAAGCTTGACCAACAAGGCGGGTGGGGGCTGACAAAGCTGCAATGCAGAGTATTTATTGGCACTTGTTTGCCTATTCATTGCCCTATGACCATTTTTTATGTGTTCTTTTTTTTTTTTTCTCTTGTTACCAATTACTGATTTTGCAAGTGGCAGATTCTGCAGACAGTGGGTTGGAGGAGGGACAGAGTGTGAGTTGGGGAAAAGAGAAGGTAACTCGGGATCTTCCAGCCAAGTGGATGCCGAGAAACTGCAGTAGTGGCTCGTACCACTGTCCTCTCTTGCCCAGCTGGATGTTTGGCTCCTGTGTCTGGGAGTTCCCAAACCCAAGAGCCAGAATTTTCATCAGCCAGCCAAGCTGGAGGGTTCAAGGTTGAGGCTGGTCTCCGAGGACCATCTTTAAGGACTTCCTACCTGGTTCTGGAACTTTCTGCATAGTATCCATCATCTTTAGACATGGTGTGGTGCTGCCCATCTGAGCAGTACCGCCCAGCTGCTTCGTGTTACGAGACCCCTGACAAGTTAAGATATTTGAGTTGTTAATGAAGACCTCGTGTGTGGATGGATGATGCCAAGATCCATGAGAGTAGTGTTGAATAACTGTCTTTTGTCAATAAAGGCTGGACGGCAGCTCTGTGGCTCAGAGGGAGATGTGATGGGGGTGAAGGACAAAATGCCATCTGTCACTCACTCCTCACAGGTGAGGTCCCATTTACAAATGGGGAAACTGAGGCCCAGGCAGGCAACAGCACAGCAACACTGAACCCAGGTGTCTGATGCCAGGTTCTCATCGCACCAGAAACTGGGAGGAGTCTGTCCTTATTGGGAGAATTAGTATAGCCATCATTTCCCAGCCTTCATTGCCAGGCTCTTGACAGGTATCGCCTCAGGCAGGGATGTGAACCCCATTTACTGCTAAGGAAGCAGAGGCTCAGATCATCCGAAGAGGCGGGAGGGAGGCCATGTGTGCCAGACTCGAGAGCTAGAGCTCAGTGGCAATGCCTCTGGTATATCCCTGGGGTCAGAGAAGGGAACAAGGTGGGGGCAGATGTACTCTTTCAGCATCAGGCCCTCCTGCAATTAGCTCACTCAACTCTCATTACAACCCTACCAGGCATGGCTTCGTTACTGCACCCATTTTGTAGATGAAGAAACTGAGGCTCAAGGGAATAAAGGAATGTCTTGCCACCCAAGATAACAGCAAAAGGGTGTATTAATTAGGAGGCTGCCTAAGTCTTAAGCCTTCCTGGGGAGTGGCTTGCATCCTCGTAGGGGAGACCGGTCCACCCACGTGTAACAATTAGCAGGAAGGGAAAGGCAGGAGGATGATGGGGAAGTGCAGACTGGGCCCACCTTGGTGGGAACCAGGCATGGGACAGGGACAGGGTGCCCGTAATACTCTGTCCATGGCTTGGCTCTAGGGTGTCCCCATGACCTAAGTGCATCGCTGCTCCCACCATCCTTGGCGATTCGTTGGGGTTGGAATGCCCCGGGCATGTTGGTCACAGCCAACGGGCATCACCTGTAGAAGCTGCAGGATGGCGCCGTACGCTGGAGGGTGAAGCCTCAGCAGCCAGGTCACCACCTACTCCTTACTATGGGCAAGTGGGGCCATGTAGGCACAGAATCCAGGCAAAAATTCCAAGGTCATAAGGTCACAAGCTCGAGGCCAGAGCCCCAGTCACAACCCGAGCCCCACCTGTGCGGGGCTGTGCTGACCCCGGGAGAAAGCACAGAGAGACCAGTGGAATGAGGCTTCACGGAGGCTCTCTGCAGCTGGTCAACTCCGGAGAAAAATACTCGCTGCCACCATTTGAACACCAGCTGTGTGCTGCGCCAAACTAAATACCAGGAAGCATCTCCTGACCAGTACAGCTCAGTCACCCACAGAGGCAGGAGATGGTCCCATTTCCCAGATCACAAAACAGACTCAGCTTGTGATCGTGCAGCTTTTCTTCTCCCTCTGGGAGAAATCATCCACGTTCTAACAACAGAAAGAGTAACACCACCGGCCAATGTGTACGGGAGCTTACTCCCTAAGTGCCCTGCGACATGGCTTATTTCATTTATCCTGTTCTCCAGGGGGAACAGCTGCCATCCCTCGTGGGAAGCGGAATAGCGGCTCCCCGATGGTGACCACGTCCTAATCCTGTGACTTTGTTATGTTACAGCAAGGGAGATGGAGGCAGCAGGTGGAATTAAGGTTGTGTATCAGCTGCCCTTAAACTAAGGAGAGTCTCCTGGACTATCTAGGTAAGCCCCGTTGTAATCACAGGGTCCTTCTCAGTACAAGAGGGGGGCAGGAGGCTCGGTGTCAGCGCCGAAGAGGCTACCTTGCTGCCTCTGACAATGCAATGGGGCCTCTAGACATTGGGAAACCCAAGACTCCCTGAGAGCCTCCAAAAGGGCCCGAGGCTTCGCAACACCCTAATTCTAGCCTGCGAGAACCCATGTCAGACTTCTGATCTCCAGAACTGTAAGAGAGTAAGTTTGCGTTGTTTGTATACCCCCCAAGCTTGGAATAATTGTGACAACCGCCACAGGAAACAAACACCCCATTTTACAGAAGTGGAAACTGAGGCTCAGCCCACTTAACTGTGATTAGCCAGGGCTGGAGATGGGACTCCAACGGCGCTCTGCTTCCCCACGGCCCCTTATCCATCTCCCAGGGCTCAGCTGGTCCCTCTGCTTGCTGGTTGGAAGTGGAGCTGAAACTGGCTTGACCCCAGCTCTGCAGATCTCCCGGCTCTTAACACCACATTGCCCTGCCTTTCGGGGTGTTTGCTCCAGAAGGGGCGGCTGGTGGAGGGTTAGGGAAAGAGATAGAAGGAACGGACCGAAGTAGGCGAAGAGACAATGAAGCAGGTGTTGCCTCTGGACGATGCTGGTTGTGACACTGGGCCTTCTCTGGGTGTGAATGCAGAACCTCCCAGCCCGAGGGTCACAGCACCCCTATCTCCAGTCTAGGGGTAGCCGGACAAAGACCAAACTGGCAGAAGGAAGGGAGGCCAGGGCAGGAGCCGCTGGGCAGAATGCACAGGAATTGAAAATCTAGGGACACCTGGTGGCTCAGGGGTTGAGCGTCTGCCTTCGGCCCAGGTTGTAATCCTGGGGTCCCGGGATCCAGTCCCACATGAGGCTCCCTGCATGGAGCCTGCTTCTCCCTCTGCCTATGTCTTTGCCTGTCTCTCTCTCTGTGTCTTTCATGAATAAATAAATAAAATCTTAAAAAAATAAAGAAAATCTAAAGGCATGCTCACAGGTGAGCCTGCATGTCCCCGCCACCAGGTTTAAGGGATGCAAGCAAAACGTTTCAATGACTCCTGAGTTCAAATTACTTCCAAGCTTGACCTAGAAGGAAGGCTATTATAAAAATGAACAAAAAAGCCGTTAAGTGTTGGGGAGGATATGGAGAAACCAGGTCCCTCGTGCACTGTTGGTGGCAACATTGAACAGGGTAGCCCCTGTGGAAAACAGTGACCTCTTCTCAAAAAGTTATGCATAGAACTGCCGTTTGGTTCAGCAGTTCCACATCTGGGCACATACCCGCAAAGAGGTAAAAGGGGAGACTCGGGAGGTATGTGCACGCCCACAACCATAGCAGCATTATTACCAAAAGCCAAATGGTGGAAGCAACCCAAGTGGCCATCGACGGATGAATGGATAAACGGAATGTGGGTGCTATGGTCTGAATATCTGTGTTCAGCCACCCTCCCCCCATTCATATGTTGAAATCCTAATGCTGCTGTGATGGCATTAGGAGGTGGGGCCTCTGGGATGTACTTAGGTCAAGACGGTGGAACCTTCACGAATGTGATTAATGCTCTTCTAAGAGGCCCCAAAGAGCTTCCTGCCCCTTCTGTGAGAAGTTGGCAACCCAGAAGAGACCCCTCACCTGGCCATGGTGTCAACCCTGATCTTGAACTTCCAGCTTCTAGAACTGTAAGCAATGAAATTCTGTTGTTTATAAGCCCCTAAGCCTGTGGTATTTTGTTATAGCAGCTCGAAGGGACTAAGACGCGGGTTTGTATGTTCAATGGAATGTTATC